AGAAGAAAAAGAAAAAGAAGAAGAAGAAGAAGAAGAAGAAGAAGAAGAAGAAGAAGAAGAAGAAGAAGAAGAAGAAGAAGAAGAAGAAGAAGAAGAAGAAGAAGAAGAAGAAGAAGAAGAAGAAGAAGAAGAAGAAGAAGAAGAAGAAGAAGAAGAAGAAGAAGAAGAAGAAGAAGAAGAAGAAGAAGAAGAAGAAGAAGAAGAAGAAAAAGAAGCTGATGAAAACTTTTGTACTACCGTTCAAAAACCACGAGAACGATTCTTACTCACCCCCCGCCGAAATTGAGCCCATGCCACTGTCAAACACACAGACACAAACACACAAGCGTGCGCGCACACACACTCGCACACACATACCCATGCGTACACACACAAATACACTCTCACATACACACGCGCACATACACACAGGCGCTCACGCACACACACGCGTACGATGCATGCACATACACACGCAGACTCACGCACACACACACGCGCGCGTGCACACATGCATGCATGCACATACACACACAAGCGTATGCCCACATTCACATACAAAGCACACACACATGCGCGCACGCACGCACACAGCTAACCTTTATCCCACAAAGCAGCGCCAATTTTATTTAAAAGTATTCAAAACCAGCCCTGTCAAAACAAACATAATTTATTCTGCTGATTTGGCTAACTGGCTGTTGAAGAGATAAATGTGATGCCACAATACAAAATATCAGTTTTCAAGACAAGTAATCAAACTGATGTGTTTTCTGACACGATCGCAGCTCCCACCTCCCACGATGAGATATTTTTTGTCCGTTCTGTAAGACCATCTGACACAGACAATCTTGAATTGCAATGAGCCATCACACTTTGACATAGCAGATGTCTATGTCTTTCCATTATAAATGGCTCCCTTACAAAGTATCTAAAGGAAAGGGAATGCCCAAGCCGCGTTTATGTACAAACTAATAATATGCTGTCCCCATGTGGGTTTCGGTAGATGGAATAGACCCACTGTTAGTTAGTTAGTTAGTTAGCTAGGTAGTTAGTTAGTTAGCTAGGTAGTTAGTTAGCTAGGAAGTTAGCTGGTTAGTTAGTCAACATATTATCCTCATTACACATCAAACTATTCAGTCCATAAGTAGTGAGTGGCTCATGACATCGGTTCTGTGTTGGTGTCTTTTTCTTCTTTGGCGTCCTGCATAATGCTCTTGTCTGGCCACACCCCTCCCCCTTTTATCATGCTGGTCTTGCAGTCTGGTCATGGTTGCAGATTCACAATCATCACTTGGTTCTCGTAGAGCCTTTATAATATCAGCATGACCCATGGCTCATCCGTTCTAAGAAAGGTAGCTTTACCTGCAAGCCGATCAACTTGCTTATTTCCTTGCACTCCTACGTGCCCTGGCACAAATATGAAAGTGATATGTGTCAAACTTGACCACTCTAGAGACTCCAGCCACTGTCTACGGATCCAGTTCTTCTCAGTCTTCCCGACCATGCTCATTGGGTCAGTGAGAAAGCCTGCGCGGGAAAAGGTCTGTGCCTCCAGCCATATTTTTGCTCTGGTCACCGCCATGACCTCCATAGTCAGACTACTTGTAGTCAAGGCAACAGCACAAGAATCTTGCTTCACAGTTCTAACTGAGCCGTAAAAGCCAAAGAGCTTTTTGCATGGCGAATTATAGACCCATCTGTGTAAATGACAACATCACCCTGACAACATCACCCTGTAGAGAATTCTCGAAAATCAAAGCCGGCACTTCTGCCTCAACAGTGGCTGGGCTTTCTTGTCTAAATTTCTGTCTAGACGTCTCCCCAATATGCATGTCCATTAAGTCGATTTATTGAACCAAACAAAAAAAGGGGGATGGGTGTGGGGGTGGGCGGGGGGCATCATTGAAGTCTGAACGAATCTGCCTGAAAGACAAGGAACCAACAGTCTGCATAACTCTGCATAACACAGATAAGTATTATCAGTAAAACGGATGTGCACGAAGCACTCATATTTTTTCTTTTACTTCTGTTTTTTTTTTTTTGCGTTCGGTTTCATACATTCGGATCAGACCATCAGATGGGGTTACCTCTATGAACTTACATGTCAGCTGCAGGTTCTTCAAGGTTCCCCATAGCTTGCTCTACACACTTTGCTGTCTTTTCGAAGTTGTAGGTAGAGTGGGCAGGTCGGCAGAATGTGCTCAGGTGTTTGTGGTCCTGTTTGACAGGCACACTGGGGGACTGTATAATATATATATATTTTTTTTGCATGTTGTAGCTGAGCCTGCAGTGTCCTGTTCGTAGACGGAAAATTGTTGTATGTTGCTTTCTGCTGAGTCTGCCGATGGGGTCTTATGGATGTTTACTGTTAGTTTGTTCTTTCCACAATTCCTTATATCTTTCCTTGACATGTTTTGGAACAAAAATAAAGTCCTTATGTGGACGAATAACAACCCCCCCCCCCCCCCCAACCATCTCTTTCTCTCACTATTCTTTCTATCAGTCTTGATCCCGTGAAATTATGTTTTTTGCACCTGGACAACAGCCAACCTATTTTCTCCTGGCGTGATGTTACTCTTCTAGATGTTCTTTTCAGAAAACACGAGAACTTTGGTGCGTGCGGTAGAGAATTATCTCTCCCAGTGGGACCTTGTTGAGACAGGTGATTTTACTGCTCTGCACACGCGCTGACTTCTTTAATTATTCTGACCGAGCGTGACAGATCAGCTGAGGGGATACTGCTGTTGTTATGACATGATCCTGCATTGGACCCGTGGCTTAGGCGTTGCGAATGCGCTTTGTAATGCTGGGATACCAGATTCAATCCCAACTGGGGGGAGATTTGGCAACAGCTCGTCTTGCGTTGGTTTCGATAGTGGTAACGGGAGCCGACTGTTTTAAGGGAGAGCAGATAAAGAAAGAGGATGATGATGATGATGATAATAATAATAATAATATCTGCGATTTTAATATGGCACATTACATTAAGAAAGTGCAAACCGTTGATCAAAATGGTCTCTCTCTCTCTTCCTCTCTCTCTCTATCGCTGTCTTTTTGTTTCATTCAGTACTTTCTAGCTGCATATGAGATTGCTACCGCCCTCTGAAGCGTCCCAGTGCCCCCCCCCTCAATTTGACTGAGGCCGCTACCGCCCCATGTCCCGCCCCAGCGCCCCCAGGGAAACACTGCTTTAAACTAATAACCACTGACTGTAAAGGAATTCAAATAACAATCATTTTCTTCTTTGCGTTCACCAACTGTAAACTCTGGTGGAAAGTTCTGGTTGTTGATCCACTTCTGGACTGCAGTCCTGTTCCAGAACCTGGGTGTTGCGTGTGCATCCGTTTGACAGAACTGACACATTTGTGTGCAGACTGTTGTTTTCTTGCCTCTCAGGACAGTAATCATACAGAGTATAATAATTTAACACATTCTGTACTAAGCACCTTATAGTGCGTATGTTATCGACGGCCTACATGGTAAACTATTCTGTTTTCGGTCAAGCAGCTCATTAACCCACTCTGTCCCACCTTAATGATTTGAATACGCTTGTTTTATTGTGACCTTCAGACTAAGATATCTCTAAGTTATCGTAATATTTTCTTAGAATACAATGAAGTTAATTTTAATCCGCCTTGTTGTGAAAGAGTTACAAGGAGCTGGTTTATGTATCACATTGGTTTCCAATCCTGAAGGTACGCCCCTCTATGGGGCGCAAGGAAGTTTCCAGGGGGCGTCAAGTAATTTTGAAGCTAAGTTCATTTGCACTTGTAATAATCTGTTATACTCAAACCAACCCACTCCCGCCCCCACCCTCAATTTAATTATAAATATTTTTTAAAAGCTATATATATATATATATATATATATATATATATATATATATATATATATATATATATATATATAAATATATATCTTTATAACAGGGAGTCGCCGTGGCGTAGCATCTAGAAACCTGCGGATCGCAAGGTCGTGGGTTCGCTCCTTAGCGGAGCCGGACTTTAAAAATAAATTACCTTGGCTCCCAGGTCGACCCAGCCTTGAGTGGGTACCAGGTACAGTCGCGGAAAATAAAGGTGGCTAGTGATACTGACCACATAACCTATCATATGCCGATTAGTCTATAAAATATAGGTCTAGCCATATTTGCCCTATACGCCTAAAGGCGTGGAAACGGTCCTTTAAGTTTACTTACTTAAGCTAACCACCCCCTTCTTTAATTTTAAATATTTTATATATATATATATATATATATATATATATATATATATATATATATATATATATATATATATATATATAATAAGGAGCCGTCGTGGCGAAGCAGCTTGACGCTCTCCTGTGGATCCGAAGGTGGTGGATTAAAATGCGTTCCGTGCGAGACTGTTTTCAAACATTACCTTGGCTCACAGGTCGACCCAGCATCAGATGGGTACCACGTAAAGTCATAGGAAGTAAAATTGGCCGGGGTAATGTTAACCCTAAAGGACGCTATTTTATTTGACACTTTGATTTATGTGAATGTTTTTCTTCATGTTCTTGTTAATAAAGCTTGGGATGATTTTAACTGTCCTCTTCTTTTTAATCACTCTGTTTTAATATCGGGCCTGGAGCTGTTACCATATTTTCAAAGGGGCGCCACCTGAGAGAGGTTGAAAACCACTGGTGTAACAGCAGGACTAAAACTGCAAGCGTTAAGAAATGAATGTTAGGTAAGGAAGAACCGCAAACGAAGTGTCAATTCCTCAGCATCGTAAAAAGTAAAAAGTAATGGTTCCTTTAGGTGTATTTTGAATATAGGGCTAGACCTATATTTTTTAAAGACCAATCGGCACTTGTTGGGTGATGTGGTCGGAATCACACCGGCCGCCTTCACTTCCCATGCTTACACCTGGTACCCACTCAAGATTGGGTCGACCTTGGAGTCAATTGTCATTTTTGAAAAACAAGTCTGGCTCTGTCAGGACGCGAACCCACGACCTTCGGATCCTCAGTCCTGTATGCATTAAAATACTTACGTAGATCAGCTGGTAGGAGTTGCTCATCATAGCAATCAACATGTTCAGCAGGACGATCAGGGCGATCCAGCTGTACACTCCAAACATCAGCTTGCCGATGAACTCCGTGAACTCGTGCTCAAACCGAGGCTGCAGCTCCGCGTGATCCAGATCGACGAGACCGTAAATTGCCCAGTACAGGGACTGGACAATCTCGAAGAGGCTGCAGGTCAAATGAGGGTTAGCGAAATATAATTATAACACAGGCAGTGATAAAAGACAAGCATCATAGGTGATTCACACTATAGGCAAACAGGTTAGTTGTGTATCCTTTACAGGACTTTGCAGAACCAACCCCAACAGCCCCTAGCTGTTGTGTGGTTTTTGTAAGCAAATTTACGTCCAGTAGTTTGCCATTGCTTTCTGGTCGGTTGGCCCCCTGATACCAGTATCGAAACCAACGCAAGGCGCATGGCTCGCAGCTGGGATTGATCCCGGTACCCCGGCATTACGACTTAGCCACAGAGCCGACTATATTTATACACAGGGCTTAATTTGTGCGGGTACTCACACCGAGGCGGCGTCCGTGGCTAAGGCGCTGCGAGTCAGACTAATTCCAACGTACCGCGAACAAAACCCACTGCTGGCTAAGTGGATTTTTATCTTGGTATGGGGCGTCGCACGTCGACCCAGCCTAAAATTGGTACCAGGATGTATGTCCTGATGAAGTAAAGACGGCCGGCTTAATGCTGACCACAATACCAACCTAGTGCCGATTGGTCTGTACAAATATGGGTGCTTTACCCATATGCCCGATGCGCCTACAGGCGCAAAAACGGATCTACTTTTTGCCCCTCACACACACCAAGTTAAAAAAAAAACGATAATCATCGTAAAGTGTCTATAAAAATAGCACCGCATACTGTTGCACATCATTGAGAAGAAACCAGAAGACAAAATCCAGAAGTAGACGAATAACCGGAACTTTCGGCCGGAATTTACAGCCGGTGAACGCCGAAAAGAAGAATATTCTAGACTATTACTTTTTTTTTTTTAAAGTTTACATTTTATCAAATAGAAGGAATTAAAGTAGTAATAGTCTGGGATAAATCTTTAGTTAATTCAATTTTACATGTCATTTCTATACATTGTGCTAGAAATAACAGTATATAAACCAACAAAAGTAGCACACACAAACACACAAACAAAATTGCGCACAAATTAAAAAAATGGCCCCCCCCCCCCCCTCCCAAAAAAAAAAATATCGCACAAACAAAACATAATACCTTAAAAAGACAGCACACGAACAAAAACATTTTATAGAAACAGAACACAAACACAGTTAGCTGAGAGAGCTTAATATATTATTTTAAAGTTCTTATTTCTTATCTATTTCTTTTTTAATAATTTCGCCATGAATGATTTTTCAATCCTTCGGAGAGGGAGATATGATTGCGTCGAGGGGAGAGGAGGGGGGAAGGGGGGGGGGGGTATGACAGACACTGTTAGCTGAGAGCTATTTTCTTTCCTCTCCATTTCACCATTCTGGGCCACAGCAACGCGTGGCCGGGTACAGCTAGTATATATATATATATATATATATATATATATATATATATATATACACACACACACACACACACACACATATATATATATATATATATATATATATATATATATATATATATATACACATACATACATACATACATACACATGTATATATATATCATTAGGTGCCTTGCCGATTGGCGTTGGTGATCATGCCTCTCCATAATCTGCGATCTTTTCCAGCATGTATCGTTTTGTTTTCCGACACCTCCATGCAACAAGACTGTCAAGCATCTTCTCTCGTTGTCTTCCTCTATCCCTCCTTCCACAGATCTTTCCAGTGGTCACAACATGTACTACTTTCCCTCTTCTCATAACATGGCCGAAAAATGATGACTGTCTCCTTCTGATGTCTATGATAAGTTGTCTTCGGGCTTCCGCCTCTTTCAAACCCTCTTGGTTGCTCTTTTTGGCTGTCCAAGGTATTCTAAGCATTCTTCTGTAAAACCACATCTCAGAGGCCTCTAGAAAATGTTTGTCCTGCCTACCGATTGTCCAGGATTCCCAGCCATATGTTAAAACTGGATGTATGTAGCAAGCAAGAATTCTTTTTCTAACCCTCAATGACAAGGATATATTGCACAAGTTGTTTTTCATTTTATAAAATGCAGTTTTTGCCTGTCCTATTCTGCTTCTTATCTCAATTTTGCATCTTCCATCTGATGTTATCCATGTTCCCAGATACTTACATTTCTGTACTTGTCCTAAAATAACACCATTGACTTCTATTACACATTTAGGAATAATTTGTTTCTTTGATACCACCATTACTTCTGTCTTCCCATTATTCAAACTGAGGCTCATTCTTCCACTTTCTAACACCACAATGTCTATCATTTCCTGTAGTTCTTTCTGACTTGTTGCTATCAAGACTGTGTCATCAGCATAACGTATATTGTTTATGTTGTGCCCACCAACCACAATTCCGGGCATATCAGTTAAAGATCTCATTATATATTCACTGTATATTGAAAACAAATCAGGTGACAGTACACACCCTTGTCGTACGCCCCTCTTTATGCTTTGAAATGTGCCTAAACAGTTGATTCTTATAGCTGCTGTTTGCTGCCAATACATATTCTTTATTATTCGTAGATCTTTCCCATCAATGTTTAAATTTTCCAACAGTTTGATTACTTCTTCATGCTTCACACAGTCAAATGCTTTTGTATAGTCTATGAAGCATAAGTACAAATAAATCATATATATATATATATATATATATATATATATATATATATATATATATATATATATATATATAATGCACAGCAGAAATGCAGACAAATGACACCAAAAGTTCTAAATACAATAAAAACTGAAAAGAAATAGAAGTAAACAGAACATGAGTGCAGACAAGCAACAAGTAAACAGAACATAAGTGCTAGAAGAAAAAAAAATACAAAAGGTAAAGCATGCCCCCCCCCCCACACACACACACACTTTTCTACCCCAGGCACAAATTATACTTATTTAAACCATGTACTCTGCAGGTGATCTTCGGTGCAGCTGAAAACACGCACTGTAGATATGCCATTTGTTCTTGATGGTTCGCTGCCTTATTTTGTGAAGAAAATGTCGCGCTGCAAATCCGCTATAGATTCATCACGCTTTGATCTCACACTGAACTTATATCATCTCTCTCTTGGTAATGATTCTCAGTTCAAACATCAACTTCGGCCATTTGCAATAGTCATTACCTCATTCGACGAGTACTTGAAACATCTACATCTTCAAAGAATTAGCAATGGCGTTACAAGAGCTGAGCATTCAGAAGCACTGTTATACTCCTATTTCCTCTTCCACCCACTTCTACGTTTCCTCATCCTGTCCTCATCTTACTCTTCACATCCTCCGTTCTTCTTCAACGTTTTTGGCTCTGCATGTTAATTACCCTTTTCCTGTTTACATATGAGATGAGAGTTTTAGTTATTTCGGCTGACACATCCGATTTCACACCGGCTTGGTATGAAAACAAAGACTGGTCATGCGTCTACGTACATTTGTTTTTGCAGCGAGGCGCTTTCGTCATTTGGTAGTCACAGGCTCAATACCTGGCATGGTAACATAGCTTTCGATTTTTATGTTGTCAACTGTGTCCTTCTATCTTCCTACTTCTTTCAATGAGTGTTATCATCCCTATACGAGAGATGTAAGGTTTAACAGGCGAAAATGTAAAGTCGCAATGAACAGGTAACACCTGTATGCGACTTTAGGGAAGTGGCTCTCAACCGTCCTCATTCCGCCACCTTTTAATACAGTTCCCTCATGTCGTGGCGATCCTCTGACAATTATGTTACTTCATAACTTCAATAAATATGTGTTTTACGATGGTCTTAGGCGACTTCTCTTTCTCTTGGTCTGCCTCTGCATCTTTTACCAGTGATCTTTTCAGTCGTCACGTTACTTTCCAGTGCTCTTTTTCTCATTACAGGATTGATTTGATTTGATTCAAGAACCGACATCACATCACTCGGGGCATTTCCATAAGCGCTCCGTCCCCATCTTCAGCAGCCAGCGAAGAGTTCCGATACTAATGGTGCCAGTAGCATTCTAATTAAACGCCCGTCTTGCATTTCCTCTGAGCATCTGCCAGAACCTCGCGTCACTCCATTTACAGGACCAAAGAACTTCGTTTGTCTTATCATTGTTATATATAATGTTCTACCTTCAGTAGCGATTTCCAGGCAATCATTGTTAGTTTTTCTAGTATTCCAAGGTATTTGCAAAATTCTTTTCAATAACCACATCACAGTTGTCTTCAAATTCTTCTTAATAAAATAAAAAAACAAAAACAGTGTAAGGAATGCCAAGTGCCTTGTTGACTAGTATGGACGATCAAAGCTCTCCATAATCTGCGATCTCCAACAGCGTGTATCAAGTTTTGTGCTGACACCCTCTGCATGCCTCGTCAAAAAGCTGTCAAGAACCTCCTCTCGCTGTCTCTCCTTCTCTTTTCCACAGATCTTTTCAATGGTCAAAACTTATTCCAGTTTCAGTCTTCTTTGCGTATACGTATGGTTTTGTTTGATTTATGTATGTGCTGATGAAGGCTCTATAGCCTTCATGTTAACGTTTTGTTTGTGTTTGTTATTTTGTCAAGCTACTTTTCGTTCAGTGTTCCATGATACTTCTTCTCACAACAGTGACCCAAAAGAAATGATGACTTTCTTTATGATGTTTATGATAAGCTAGCTGTCTTCGAGCCCTCGACCCATCACTCGATCACAAAATAACTAAAAGCCTGGTTGTCATATCGTCTTCATCCCTGTGCTGGATATCTGGGTCCCAGAACTAGTGTGGGTTCTAGGACTCCACTGTGAGGGTAAAAACAAGAATAGACCCACTGCCTCCCCAACAAGCATGTCGCTTAAGTCTACTAATTTGGGGAGGGGCCTTCCTTTGAAGTCAGAGTACAAAAATTAGACATTTGATGTGCTTTCCTGGTTTCGTAAAAAATCATCAAATTTCTGCCTTGAAGGATTTGGAAAATCTATCCTACGCAGGCATGTGCCTGTTGAAGGTGGTGGTGACTACGCTGAAATAATAACGGCCACTTACTCCAAGGACATCCAAAGCTTTCGGAAAAAGAATATTTCGTGTGTACACTATGTATGTTAACAAAGTTATATCCTTTCGAGTATACACTATGTATGTCAACAAAGCTGTATCTTTTAGTGTATACACTGTTTATGTTAACAAAGTTATGTTATTTCGAGTATACACTATGTATGTTAACAAAGTTGATTCTTTTAGTGTATACACTATTTATGTTAACAAAGTTATGTCATTTCGAGTGTACACTATGTATGTTAACAAAGCTATGTCCTTTCGTGCCTATGCTATGTGTAATAACAAACTTACGTCTTTTCTTGTGTACACTGTGGGTATTAACACATTTACTTCCTTTCGAGAGTACACTATGTGTATAAACAACGTTATGTTCTGTCGTGCGTACACTGTCACGATACGATCTCAGTGATTCCAGAAGTTAGTACTTGTAATAAGTTCTTCTGGTTATTGAGAGACAAGAGACTATGCCCTTGAACCAAATGTTACTTCAAACCGTATTGATTTAAATGTTTCCAGTCCTTAGTCCAAACAAAGCGACCCAACCTTGGGTAATATTACCTAAAACTTTACACTGTAGCTAGGAATGCTATTCTCATGCCAGTGTCAGAATGTTATCTCCTGACCACAGACTGTAGAGGCCAGCGAACGGGGAACTTAGCATCACACCTGAGCTGGACCGTAGGTCATAAAAGATTACCTAACACGAATTGAGCGGACTGTAGACATAGAGGCGACGAGAAGTTTAAAGTTTAACACGTCAGTGTAATTCTGGGGAGAACAGGTGTTTGGCAATTAGGAATGTTTTATCTTGGTCAAGGTCGTACTGTAGGCCGTTCACTGTGAGTGACAGGTCACTGGTTAGCCAATTTGATTTGATAGGTACTTCAGAGGCGGAGCTTAAGCCATCATCTTGAGGGTTGGGTAAAAACTAAGGAAAGGGAGGAGTTTAATTTGGACAATAGATTGATACTTATACTTCGAGCCTGTGGAATTCCCGTCATTAATCGCAGCCTGCCGGCAAACAAACACAGGTCGACGTAAAGGTATATTTTACTGTCGTACTCTGGTTTGGCGATAGATGGAAAAGTTCCCAGGTAAGAGAAAATATTAATTTTAATCTTGTATACATAGGTTAGGGAGTTAAGCTTAGTCTATACTACCTTTTCCTAATTTGTCTGCACATTCTGCTTGAAATAGTTCTTTGTGAGAATTCAGTATCTCAGTTAGGGAACTGCTAAACTATTCCTATTTCTTGTATGTTTGTGTCACATGTTTTTCAGTGTATGTTTTCATGTGTAGAAAATAAGATGTGAACAATGACATTTGATATAATGAAATGTAATTATATTGTTTCCATGATGCCCATATGTGCAGGGATGCTGTTACGTTTTGTGTGCCCACCATGTGCTCACTTAAGGTGTTCACCTAAACAGGGGATTTATAACCCCAGGGGGAGAATGATGGGTGTACAGTATTTACTGTCACTGAAAGATAATATTCAGGACAGAGTGCACATATAAATTGTTTGAGTTTTCAGCACATAACCTGCTCCACGTGGTCATGTAATATCAATGTCAGCCAGTTGGAAGTCTGAGTGATGACGGACAACAGACTTAGAAAGTCAACTATCATGACATAGGAGGGAAGGCAGGATATGTGACGCCCATGTAAGACAAAAGACCTTCAGACTAGACTGGAGAGGATGTGGAATATGAGGAGGAGTGATGGGATATATTTTATTATTATATGTTGTATTAATTAATACATGTATTCTTAGTGTAAGTCAAGATACTACACGTATGTGTTTTGTTTCCATGATTACAGCGCCCATGTGACGATCAGTCCATGAAAGAGACTACATAGTGTTAGACTCGGCCAGCTGGGAACGAGGTGGAGAACGAGGTGGAGAACGATGTGGAGAACGAGGTGGGGAGGAAGTGGAGAATAAGCTGAAACAGGCAGACAACAGGCAAGGAAGAGTTGGACAAGCTTGACAGTTCCTCACGGCTGTCAGAGGCTTATAAGTTGAGTTAACCCCTTTATGTTAACCTTTTATCATCATTATCATACCACTCTAAACCCCGAGCTGTTTGTCTCGCTGAAGCGTATCACTTTCATTAACCAGTCACTGTTTGTGTAAATCAACAAACTGGTAATTTCATTGTAGTAAATAAAGCTGTATGTCAAGTTTTAAACTACATAGTTTGTTAAATTCCAAATGTCTGTTCTTACATGTTTAATTAAACTGTTAGGATAGAATACCATTTGGTGGGGGCTCAAATAATATAATAATTCTTTAATTATTAATAATAACACCGGGAGAAGGTAGATGACGGAGGAATCACTTGCCCTGTCTAATAATTCATTAAGTATGATAGACATCTAAAATTCCTTGCCTTCTCTTGTGGGTACCAAGTGCAGCTAATGTTAAAGTACTTAACGAGCCAATATGGTTGTTTTCTTGGGTATCCAGGACTTTGTCTGAGAGCAACATAGCTCAGATTTTAGTTCCGTTAATCTGGTGGAGGGAATGTGTTGAGAGGAACATCCCTACTCAACATTATAAACATTTAAACCACGCGTCACGTCACATACACTATGTTCGTTATCTAAGTTATGTCCTTTCGTGTGTACACAATGTATATTAACAAAACTATGTCATTTCATGTGTGCACTATAAATGTCTACAAAGTTATGTCTTTTCGAATGTACACTATAAACGTTAACAAAGTGTTGTCCTTGAAGCGGTACCATTCAAACAATCATAGTAAAACTAGTAAGCTTTCCCCAGTAAACACAATCATCAATAACAACACATGCTTGCCAGTTCGCCAGCCCGGTGTGCTTTCTTGTATCCACGTTCGCCGAGGTCTACGTCTGCGTCGTTTTCCGGGAACTGAACCCTCCCACACCGTTCTCTCGAGACCACCATGTCGTTAAACAGTTCCAGCATACCTCAGCTTTCGGGACAGGATTCTGTTTTGAGCGAAATCTTCTCGATGCTCAATCATAACTGACACTATTAACTTCATGTCAAGAAAATGCCATGGGTGCCGAATAGTGCGAATATCACAGCCTAGCTGTAAACAACAATACATTGTACCAAACGCCCAGGTAAAGGCGAGCGCAGGAGAAAAAGGACAAGAAGGCATTCTTCAGCACACGAGACTTTCGGACAATGATTCAACTACACAAACAATACATACAACAACTTAGGGCACTCTTCCGAATACCGGTCCCTTATTATTTACTGTCCAAAACATTCCTTTTAGAGCCTCAAGTGGTTCAAGAGGTTACAAAGAGGTCAAGGGGTTATAAAGAGGTTATACAAAATATGGAACAACAAAATATGGAACAATACGTAACTGCTTATCAACTATACTAGCGAAGACTCGGTAATTTCGTTCAAACGAAATTATATAATAAAAGAAAGCATAGTTCGTAGTGTTCCTGTTCCATATTTTTAACTACATGACCTCTCAAGATCCTAACTACGACCTCTTGAGGCCCTGAATGGGATTTTTTTGTCTTTGAATAATAAGGGACCGTTAATCGGAAGAGTGCCCAACTTAGCTTTCCTGTGAAAAGGAAATGCACTTACTTGGCGAAACTCCGGTACTTCCGGTCACAGGACGTCGGGATTTTAAATTTAGCGCACTCACTGGCGTGTTTATTTGCATAGTACCAGTAGAGGTGGTTCAGCCCACAGGCGAAGGAGATGAGGACGAGCAGAAACACACAGCCGAACTTGACAATGTCCATGATCATCCTACCCAAAGAGATTTGCAGCGGTCCCAGGTAGGGACTGACGGTAAAGATATTGACAAGTTTTAAGGAACTGAAGATGTTGGCTGCTGCGAATAGAGCTTCGGCGATGAGGTTGGGGTCATAGGGCGGCCAGTGCTCTCTGTCTACGCTGGCTAGGGGATTGTGTCGTTCCCGTTCGTCTTTCACCTGTGGAGATTTACAGAATATGTCACAGCTGCAATTATTAATAAACGGATATATGAATGGATGGGTGGATGGATGGGTGAATGGACTGATGGATGGGCAGCTAGATGGATGAATGGGTGGAGGAATGGGTATGTAGAAACTACTGACAATTTCGGGTCCTGGCCCCGTGCAAACACAGTTATGAATGACAGAGACAAGAAAGGACACTGTGATTGGACGGTGAGTCTTCGCCTTAAGCTGTCAGACGGTCACGTCTAAGAGGTACGGGTGTGAGTTTGCTCTCGTGTGTATATGTTGAAGTGCGGACAGGTATATAGTGGCTTTACTGAGCGACTTAGTTTATAGTATTATTGTTTGTTGGTGGGTACATGACAACCGTCTAGGGTTTTGCTTAGGAAATGAGTTTATTCCACAGGGCAAAGTTCCGTGTAAGCAGCGAAACGTAGAATGCACTGTCTCGTCGGACTTAGGTTTAGTATTTGCGTAAGGGCCAGCAGCAGATTTTAGGGAGTTAAAAATCGCAAACTCGCTGTAATATAGAGGTCACGTCACGGAAGAGTGAGTTCTCGATGTCGTGAGGTCGTAAATGTGTCATAAAATGACGCCCATCGGACACAGCCACGGCGACACCCCTCTAATCTTTGCAGAAGTCGACTCGGTTGATCAAGTATGAATGAAAAGTTGGGTAGTGTGTAAATGGGTGGGGCAGGGCCCAAAATTGTGATAAGAACAGGTTTGTGAGTGGGTGTGTAGATAAATGCGAGGGTAGGTGGAAGGATTGGTGTGGGAGTGGGTGGATAGATAAATGTGAGGGTAGGTGGATGGGTGTGTGAGTGGGTGGGTAGATAAATGCGAGGGTAGGTGGATGGATGGGTGTGTCAGTGGGTTGGTAGATAAATGCGCTGATCGATGGGGAAAGGTGGATGAATGCGTGGATGAATAGTAATTGAGTGGATAGGAGGATGAATGCGTGGATGGATTGGTGTGTGAGTGGATGGGTGGATGAATGCATGGATGAATGGGTGTGTGAGTGGACAGGTAGATGAATGCGTTGATGGGCGGGTGTGTGAGCGGATAGGTGGATGAATGCGTTGATGGATGGGTGTGTGAGTGGATACGTGGATGAATGCGTTGACGGATGGGTGTGGAAGTGGACAGGTGGATGAATGCGTCGATGAGCGGGTATGTGGATGGGGATGGGTGTGCTGATGGGTGGGTAGATGGATGAATAGATGGATTGATAGGTGGGTAAATGAAAGGATAAATGAGTAGGTGGGTGTTTGGATGTATGGATGGATGAATGGATAGATAGACAGTCAGATAGACAGACAATTCTTTAGACAGATAGACACGCATAAGCCTTCACCTGGCTATCTACATACTTATACACATACACGAACGCGAGCGCGCACACACACACCACACACAGAGGAACTAAAGAAAACATTATTACAAAAGACAATATGCTCAAAAGAGACAAGTACAGGCGCACTGAAGTCACCATGGCACAAAACTAATGAATCCATCAACAGGCACAGGGAAAAGAAATATTTGATTACATTTTACACACACATACATCTAAGCAGATTATCTTTAACAACAACAATTTATCTGGTCTAGTTTTTCATGCTTCTTCATTGTTTACAGAATTGGAAGATTGTTTATCTTACCGCGGGAATTTGTATAATAATCGATCCTAGTGCAGTAAACTTGCAGACAACTGGGATAAGACTTTCATGAAAACATGGATTCTGGGCCGATCCAGGCTCATATTATGGATTCTAGAAAATTTTCGTAAACCGTATGGATGGAAGGACGGATATATGGATGGATGGATGGGTGGACTGACTGGCTGAGTGAAAGGCATAAAGACTGATGGATAGATTGTCAGTCCACTCATTAAAAAGTTTTACTATATTTTTCACCATAATAAGATCTGGTCTTATATTAATTTTTGCTCTAAAAGACGTGGGACTTATATTCAGAGGTAGAAGATTTAAAAAAAAAATGTACACAACTTTACATTTATCGTATAACTTTAAACCATTACTGTCAATAATTGTATTGATTAATTTTTTTAATAATTTATTCATTATTGTAAAAAGGAAGATTTAACATCATCAATGTTGCAGGTTCTTTTCAAAACGTCGCCATCACCACAATATGCTCTCGCCAACTCTCTCACATCTCGAACTTTCCTACCCAGTGTGCCACTTATATCATGTACATCTTCGTGGTTGCCCTGTTCTTCGTTCCTGATGTCATGACTTCCGCTTTTATCCGTTGAAACCCTCCATGATCCTGAATATGGCAAAACTATTTCAGCTTCTAGAATGAGATGCTGGTTTACTAGCCAACCTTCCTGGAGTTTCAGATCTACTCGCCAAATCTTTGCCTCACAAAATCTGCATCAGCTCAGAGCACAGAACACGTTGGAAGGTACAGAAAGAGAGAATAAATCTCAGGCATAACCAAACGCCACAACGAATAAGAAAGACTTCAAGTCAGCAAATACACACGGTCTGGATATAACCACCGCTCACTTAAGGAGCAGGTTGAATGAGTCACGCAGTTTGTTACCCCTTTGCCCCCCCCCCCCCCCTCTCAGCCCACAAAAAAAAAAAAAAAAAAAAAATCGAATCGAATCGGTGTTCAGATCTTTTAGGATGTCACTATCTCTCTCTTCTTGGTCCATGATTTTCTGAGAATCCTTCTAAAGCATTTCAGCTCAAAGGCCCACATGTTCTTCAGTACTTAAAAAGCTCAACAAAATCCGGCCGCCTGGCTGACTCCCTTAAGTAGGGCTCACATTTATAATGTCTAACATCAACAGCAGAAGGAAAAAAAGAATCTTATCCGAGGTTATTTTCATATTAGTTCTTCTCGAGAAAACATTACTGCAATATCATGTTACAATATAAAGTAGTTTGTGACACCAAACGCATAACAAATATGAGACTCATCCAGAAGAGAGGTGCTCTCGACAGTGCATAAATAGGATTTTTAGCATCGAAAGGAGTGTGGTAAGACTGGATTTTCCGAATTTCTGATGCTTTTAACGACCAAAAAGCATCTAGAACTGGCCCACCTACGTCCCTCGAGAGAGTACAACCTAAGTCCTACGACTGCATGCACCCTAGGTCCCAGGACTGCATGCAGCCTATCTACCACCCCCTGAAATATTAGAGTGTCCCGTAACCTGTAGATTTCCCCTATGTGGGGTAGGATATTAAGAAAGCACCTAAAACTTTACTTTATCATTGAAACTAGATAGAAGGAGCAAGTGGTGACACCAGATTACCAGCGCTCGTTCTCAAATGATGCGTAAAAAACCCCCATTAAGGTATTTGTTCTCAAAGAAAGATGATAAATAAATCCAG